TACCCCCCCAAAAAAAACTAAAAAAAGAACTGTGAACAAAGCGAGGTAAAAGGTCTGTTTTTGTTTGACTTGAGARGCAGCGGCGTGTCCCCAAAAGCACAACAAAACAACTATTGAGGTCATGTTTCCTTGTTTGTGAAAGTGGGTCACTTGTTCCGCGGTTCGGCCTCAGAACTCCTGGTAAACATCACGGCTGCACAAAGCACAATCCTAGGATTTCTGTAAAACGGATCCCAACAAGCTTYGGCAGGTTATGACATCTGATATAAAGCAGAAAATCTTAAATGTACTTTTTGGCAAACTGCAAACAAACACTGGTGGTAACAATGCCAGCTCCTGACACCCACACGCTGACTGGTTTTGTCATCTTCCCAGGACCTTTTATATGTTCGGCCCGACGGTGCCATAATAACATTCCCCCCCGGGAGTCAAGTTTCTATTCAGTACACATAATTAAACTTCTAAAGCTCCTCTTCCCCTCCCCTCCTCGACGCTCTCCTTACATTTGCACAGCGGTTTWGCAACTCCTGAGCTCCACCGGTGATTCACCTAATGACAGAACAAATCCACTCGACAGGGATGGAGCTGGCTCCTCCTGCGTCTCATTTTCACCTSAGGGGTGATGAAGAGCTTCGTCTCCCGTCCTTTTTTTTTTAAGCAGGAAGAGCCACACCTTCTTGAACTGTAGTCGTAGCAGGGCAGTAAAAAAAAAAAAGGATGGAGATCAGGATGGTGTCATCGCATGAATCGTTTCAGTGGCGTGTTGTGCCCCGGCAGGGGTGCGTTACGAGCTCCGAGGCGACAAATCTGCTAAAAGGCTCCGACGGTGCAAAGTTACAGCTCGGCTGAAAAAAAAAAAAAAAGACTGTCTTTATTTGTTGGGACTATTTTTGGAAATTTCATCTCTACCAAATGAGTTTAAAGAGACCCCCAAGGTGACAAAGAGTACAATCAATTCCTTCAAGGAATGCATATCGCCCACCGCCACTCGTGCAAGACTTTTAATTCAAGATGGCCGCCAGAGTTATCTTAGTTAAAACTGGAAGACTCTCAGCTACAACCACATAAACTTTACCTCATTATCTACGATGATTTTGAGTTCAAAATAGTAATTCTGTGGTGGTCAAGTTGAACTGGATTGACTCCAAATGTCACTAAGTTGTAGATGGCCATCTACTGATTACTTGCTGAAAGTTGAACTAAAATCCATCCGAACTGACGGCACTGACTGTTACTCTGAGTTTCTGTGGAGGTTGACCTCTCTTATCGCAGGATATTTTAGCTCAATATCGGCACAACTGGCTGAGTTACAGCCATTTTTGTATTTCACAGGGTCAGCTGGGTGTGGCTGCCATCTAGAACTCGAGTGACTCTGAAGTTTAATCAACTGTAGCGGCGTACCCAGCGAATGTTTTTTGGAAAGTTTTGTTAAAATACAAACAGCGGATCTTGAGATATTTTGCTAACAGACAGCTTTGACCCCCGATAGTTATTGGCAACATTTCAAAAACAGTTGTTTTTGAGGGTGAGCCTCAGCTATTACCACACCTAATTTAGCCTCAACAGCTGTATATATATG